AAAGTATCGAAACAATGTCTGGGGACTATAAAATTTTCGATTTTGTTCAGTTGTTGACACCAAATTTCCCATATTTTAATTAACAGCTTGTTTAAACTATCATCCCAATCAATACCTGTTTTCCATATATCTTGCATAATTATTCTAGCAGTTATCGTTAAGGGATTTAGAAATCCAATTTGGTCATAAATTTTACCTATCAATTTTAAAACATTTCATTTTGTAACGTTTTTACTTTCTCCCCCCCTCCCAATGCTTTTAGTATTCCCTGAAATTCAATTCTGAGATTATCCTCATCTGTGTTCCACTTATATCGTAAGACCTTACAATTTGCATCCATGTTAAATGTCTCATTCTCTCTTTCATTAAATTGTTTTTGCAAAGCAAAAGAATTCGTTTGCCATTTACGCATATTGAAGTTGGCATCCTTTAAACTATCCTTAATACCATCATAAATATTTAAACCCTCAGCATCATTATCCGCCTCTTCTACAAAATCATCAACATTTAAACGCTCATTAAGTAGATCAAATATTTCTAGAAAATCTTGTTTATATTTATTGATGTGATACTTAATAGTAGCAGGTAATAAAAAAGGGCTCGGTTTTGCTCCGAAGAGCACTCTAGTCCAGGGGTCGCCAAACTTTTTTGATCATCGACCCCTATATAATTTTTCGAAATCTCCATCGACCCCCACAAAAGCTATTTTCTGTTAATTAAAATAAAACTCTATTAGACACTGTGTTTGTACATTTATTTTATGATTTTAAACATTTATTAAAGTAATAGTACATTGTGTAGCAATAGTTTTATGAAAAATATATTAATATTGAAATTTAAATACCTTATTATTAAATAATAAGTAATTATGCATAAGTAGATATAATAAGTAAAGTAACTAAAGATTTACTGCTTCTTGATCAATGAGATGGGTGTGCCTGGTGTTTTTTTGCAAGGTTCGCTATATTGGGTTCAAAATTGGTCAATTTTAATTTTCGTCAAAATTGGTCAATTTTGTAATTTTCGTAAAAAAATACAAAGTGTGCTATAGTTTTGTCGCGGGCTGTACTAATCCATATTATTAATGCTTACCTTCTTTTTTGTGCATTGATAATTAAAATTGATATCTAAACCAAACGAATGGTTTTATCGAAACAATAACTAATTATCCAAAACTATAAAAGTTTTAATAATGACACTGCAAATATTCAACACAGTTTGCAAAGATAGCTGAAACTGCGTATGATATTTGCATTTGTAACGTCAATGCTCGTCACACGTGACATTTGGACAAGCGCACATATGCATATGACTTATAAACTGCGCTGAGTTCGTGCCACTGCGCGGTGGTACGTAAATACTTGTTTCACCCCAATAAATATACGTTTATTAATTTATGTTTTATATAGAAACTGATATTGAGTCAATTATAAAAAAAAATCTCAAATTTTGCATACTTAATTAGGTATGTGTGATTTGCGTATTGAGAACTGCTTTTTTTTCGACCCACAATCGACCCTTCCGATTTGGATCGACCCCCATTCGCCCCCCTGTCACAGATCGACCCCCGCTTTTGTTAAGTAGACCCCTGGGGGTCTATATAGACCACTTTGGCGACCTCTGCTCTAGTCATTCTCAGTATTATAGGATTTAAAGTAAGTACTGTTCAATTTCGGTATATCATTAATCCATAAGAATCCCACAAAATTTCCATCTTCAAGGCTTAACAAAAATTGCAGAAAAGCGTGCTCTATGTCCGAAATTATGGCTATTCTATGCAATCGAAAACGAACTAGAGCACTTAAAATATCTGGATTCAAATTTGGGCCCGCGTGTAAACAATCATTTAAAGAAATGGTGCTACTACTATAAGCTGATCCATCAAACATCACCCTTAATTTAGTAGTTACCTTGTCATCCCGAATCACCGCCTGGTGTGGAAGAAAATGCAGTATTTGGCCATTAACAGTTTCTGCAATTCCCAAATCCTGATAGTTATCAATTACTTGTTTATATTTTTCTTAAACCTTAGGTACTTATTAAACTAACAAGCCTCTTATTAGCGATATAATAATTATCCTCTAGTTCTATTATTCCATGGTAAACAAACTCGATATCGATTGTCAACATATTTTATAGAATTATTAAAATTCTCTAAAACTTCTTTTTCCAACTCGTTTTGTTCTTTTTCTAGTAAAATACCCATAGATTCTAATTCCCAAAAATTCTTCAATACGGTATTATCCTCATTTCCTCATTTAATTGTTTTGTCATAACTTTCATCACATTGATTGATGTTTGTTGTGCTTACGTTTCTGACAACGCACTTGAACCACAAATTACCCATCCGAACAATGTATATCTGACGCAACAAGAGCAATTGAAAGTCTACATATTTTCCCACTCACCATTTCCCAGTAATAATCACTACCGATCAAAATTGACAATCGAAAATATTTAGAATCGCCATACGTTCTATCTGCTAATTGGAGATTATTTTTCTTTAAAATGTCTTGGATCTCTTTCCCGGGAACTGCAATTCAGACTTCACTTATATTTTGTGTCTCTAATACTTCAATAAATATGCTCTTATTATTTATAAAGGGATTCTTTAATTGGATCTTGTATCTCTTTCTTTTCTGATTTATGGCCGCTTTTGAACCGAATGAATAAATTGAAACTATTTCCTCCCCCACAGCCTCTAAGTTGAATTTCTTTGCAACACAACTCAATATGAAGGAGCGATGAGACCCGAGGTCAAATAACACTAGTAGCTGCGATTTAAGACTCTCCCCAATTGCCAAAGCAGTCGCGGTTTGCAAATACACCGAAGAACCATTACATTATGACCACCCTCCATCTATAACAATGAGCTCGCCCAGGTTTTCATGGTTTCTAGCCCAGGAGCAATGCTTTCATGGGGCACATTGGGACCCGTATCCTCATAGAACAATCTCTGACGTCTGCAAGCTACTTGCACATAGTTGCAGACCAGGTTCACCCATTCATGGCAACAGTTTTTCCTGCGGGGGATGGTGTTTACCAACATGTTTAACCGAATCGTCATGAATTGGTTCGAGGAACATTCCAGTGACTTTCGAGTCATGTCTTGGCCCCCAAGTTCACCTGACCTTAATCCAATAGAGCATTTGTGGTCCTACTTGGAAAACCAAATTCGTGCTGCCACGCTACCCCCTCGCAATGTGAGGGAATTGCAGGACCAGTTGGTGAGCGCTTGGTACCAGATACCTCAGACTACCTATCAGCACCTTGTGGAATCAATGCCACGGCGGGTGCTAGCAGTTTTGAGGGCTAAAGGTGGTCCTACATGTTATTAGCAGGGTGGTCATAATGTAATGACTCTTCGGTGTATATGCTGCTTTTTGTGCTTTCGTTTTGCATGGAAGAAACTAAAGCATCTGTTTTCCCCCCCTTCACAGATAAGATGATTATGTTTTCGATTACAAATTTTACATCTCGTTTTAGACTTACAGTCCTTAACGAAGTGATTTCTTTTTAAACAAAGAAAACATCGCCCTTCGCGTTTCAAAATTTCCTTTTTCTCATCTATACTTTTAGTACAAATATCTAATTCAAGATTTTCAGAACAAAATATAAATTTATTTTCATTACTAACAACATTTAATGCTGCTGAGCTCGGATTCCTATCGTATTTAATTTTTGAGAATTTATTCCTTTCAAAACTAGATTCTCTTTCATTGTTTTTATTTTTAAGAATAACCCCGAAAACAATCGTTTTCTTTTTTCTGAAGCGAAAATTTTCTTTCCCTAATTTCGATTTCGGTTTTTTTAATACTCTATCAATTTTGTGTCACATTCCATGATTCTGTTTCGTTTTTATATTCAAGATTATAATTTAAAATTAAGCTGTCAGGCATTAGTTTCGTTATAACAGGAAAAAGTAAATTACCATAACTTTCAAGTTGCGTACCAAGTCATTCTAAACAACGTATTTGAGTTTCGCATGTATCATACAATTCACGAAGGTCTGTTAAATTTGAGGTATTGCGAACAGGAGACAAATTTAATAACTTATTAATGTGAGCTCTGATCAAAATTTCTTTTTTGCCGTATCGCTCATCAAAAATTGTATCGGCAATATCGCAATTTTTATCTGACAATGATTGCGGTTTGAGCTTTTGATTTTAACAAACTTTTTAAATGAATAAATTTATCTATTTTATTTAGATTTTGATAACCGTGTATCGCGTTTTTAAACTGAGATCAAAATTCTTGAAAATTCTCAGTATTACCATCAAATTTTTCGATGTGAACCTTAGGTAGCTCAAACTTTATTTTATTCTCTGCTACTAATGGATTAGTATGTGATACAACAGAACTATTAATAGCTCCAGTAAAATCGGAATTGGGGTGTGTTTTTTTTTTTTTGCAACTCTTTAATTTTGTATTTAATTTTGGATTTAACAGAAATTGTTTTTTCTCTGTACTCTTGATTTGACTAAACTTCCTTTTCTAAAATTGTTAGGTCATCAATTTCTACCTCAATTTTATCATTAAGAGAGTTTATGTGTGTTTCTTTATCACTTAATTGTGCTTGTGCTTCTTCCAAATAGAACAGATCTATTTCTTCTCATTTTTTTAATCTAAATTCTCATTAATAGCATTAACTACTTTAGTTGTACTAGATTTTAATGCTTTTCTTTTCAATTTTAATTTATCTGATTCCTTATTTTCAATTGGTTCAGTCATATTGAATATTTTCTCAGCTTAAATACAACAATAGCATTGAAATCACACAATCGCCCCGCGTTGGGCTCCAGATAAAACTAGTATAGCTCAAAATTCAAAAAAAACTATGTTCGTAATCATAAACAAGAAATAAAATGATCTTCTTAGCTTTTTTCAAAGGTAGAGTCTGACGATTGTATGTCTGTTTTGATATTGCTATCATTGTCTCTAATATTTCAATTTAATAATATTCAATATCTCTATTTTTAATTTTTATTTATTAACCAGTTACAACAATAACAAAAAACAACTAATATAACTTAAAAACAAATACACAACACACACTATATAAACTACTACTTAATTACTTGATTACTATTACACATCTGCCGCTGTTTTTCTGCATTCAACACTACACCTACATTTTTTTCTACTGCGCGCGCTATCTCTAATTCAATTAAAATTAATTCCAACACCAAGTTTCTCGAAATTTACTTCAATATCCATTTTAAGTGCTTCAATTTTGGGGAATCATTCGGTAGGCTGGACACCCAGTTCCTAATTCCAACCAAAATTATGGATACCATAACTAACAAAGCTCCTATGATGCTGAAAGTGTCTGGAATCATTTTAAACACAGCTGTCTGCCATATAAAGGACAATCCTATATCTGCCCCAGCCCTGACAGTGGAGACTGGGCCAGCAAATTCGCACTGGAAAGCTCTGGTCATCAATGCTTGAGATAAGTAACTAAATATTCCGAGGATAATTATGTACAGATTCTGCCATCCACACATATTCCACTTGAAATCACCAAAGATGGCAGTAACAGAAGCTAGTTCAATGATAGCTATGATACCTAAATTGGATACAACAGTTGCACGGTGGACTTCTTTCGTTTTTCTTAAGAGTATTATTTGAGCGGTATTAAGGAGGATTCCCGAGAAAGCAAATATAAGACCCTGTATGTATTCCTTTGAATGAACAATAGGTGAGCCAGAAAAGTAACTAGGTATTTTGGCAGTAAAAATTAAGCCAATTACAGTGAAGACCAGAGATATCGATTGGAATATTCCACATGGTTCTTTTAGGAAAATCCTCGCGGCCACGGTTACAAAGGCTGGGATGCTGAATAAAATCACATTCGCTTCTGCAAGTGGTAAGAGGCGAAAAGCATAATAACTGACCAATATATGTGTTGCCGAGCATATGCTTCTGATTATTAGTAGCACACGGAAATTGTTTGGCAAAAAGATTCCTTGGCGACATTTGATAACTTCTGGAATATTTAAAGTGAAAATTGCGATATGGCGATAAAGGCACAGTTGTCCAGGATCTAAATTATCGACGTATTTGACTACTACAGTTGTACAGGAGTACAATAATCCCGAAATCGTTGCTAGCAGTAATCCTTTGAAAACCTCGGAGTTGTTTTTTTCAGTCGTTACTAAGGCTCTGATTTTTTGTTCTAAACTTGGTAGAGCAAAGGATTTACTGTTCCACCAGATCATTTTTGAAGATTCTTCCAAGCCTTTCTTCCTCAGATCATCTGTAAATAAAAAGACGTTTATTGTAATAAATTCTGAAAAACTCTCTGATAAATGTTTATGTATTTTTATCTAGTACTGGGGATCTACTAAACGCTGTATCCGTTTTCCTGCAACCAGTCGCGTAGTTTTAATGCATGTTCGGGAGGGGGGGGGTAATCGGTTACCTCCTTCTAATATATAAGGGGGATTCTTTTCAAACATGACAATTCGGATCAAATAATTTCTTCAAATAAAAATTAAAACAACAAATTAAAATCTTCAAAATAATCTAAAAAAAATTTTTTATGCTTTTTTAGTTACACTTATTAATATCATAATGACAGTAGTGTAGTTTATTGACATTTGCTCGAGAAAAAAATAAAATAGAAATTCACCAAATCTTGAATGCCAGGAAAATGACATATTATAAGTTTAAAAAGCAGACATTTTAAGTTAATAGTAAGTAACTCAACTTAAGCCTTCATGTTAGATGGACCATAAATTGCTTAAATTAATTCTTTTTATCCACTGTAGAAAGAATAAAAAAATTTTTTGTTGCAGATATGTACAGAATAAAATTGTGCATAATAATCAATCATTAAATAAAGAAATAACTTTGATTACATCCAAGCATATTACAATCATACATAAACTTGGTATTAGGTTAATATTTGCTTTCCCTCCTTACAGTATTAGCAGTTAAAAACAATTTCTGGTAACACTTCAATGTCCTGGCATTCATAAGCCAGGATAATGACAAATTCGCCTTTTTATGGCATATAACTTTACTTTAAATTAATATTTTGCCCTAAGACGTTTATATTCTGCGGAAAACAACAGAATTTCTTAAAATAAATCAGATAAATGTATGTAGTCAATGTTATAATTGATTTCAAGAATCCAGGAAAATGACAACGCAAAAACCTATTTACATTGAAAAAAAATTTTAAGTAGATTTTGAACCAGAAAATTGATTATTTATTCATGCAACAAGACGTGTTCATATAGGAGGGTATCTTATCAATCTATTAACATAAGATATTGATTGCTGGCTCTATCTATTTTGGTTATAAACCACTAAGTAAAAGTAGCCAGGAAAATGACAGATTTTCTTGGGACAAACAAATTATTGACAGAAAATTTCGTTTTAAATGAAGTTTTTGTATATTTTACAAAATTTTACCTTTGCGTGCATTATAGAAATGCTTACACCGGTTGAGATTAAAAAAAATTAGATATTGAAAAATTTATGGGAGGTTTTGAAGCTAGTTATTATTGGAAACATTGTTTGTGACATACCAGAAACATGAAATCTTGAAGTTCAATTAAATTTTTTAACTATACAAAACAGTGAATGCTAGTGCAAAGTAAAGTAATTTTAAGATGTTAACAGCAACGCTATTTATTAAACTCTTTAAAAAAAGTTCTTTCAG